TGCCGAAGCCTGCAGCAATCAATAAAAACTCCAAGAATATGTTGAAGCAAAGTACAAAAAAATCGTCAAGCGTAAGGTGGGTCCAAGTGACTCCAGCCAGCACCAACATCCAATAGCTGAAAATAGTCAAGCGATTCCAGGTATTACTTCAAGTGACAGGAATCAAGCATCTACGGCTCAAGGGAGGAGGTTAAAAATAAAAGCGTAGTAATCACAGCAGCGGAACCTTCTGCAAAAGGAATAGGTAATTATGTCGCTAATACAAAAAATCCAACGTGTTACGTTACGTCACTAATGGTAGGAACAATATCGACAGAACCCAGTTCCAGTGAATCCTGCATAACTCACGCAATGGAACAAGAGGATGTGATTGATCTCGACTACGACTGACAACAAATGGAGCTGGAGGAGAATGAGATCGCACGCCCCAAACAAAAAAGGGTTTGCATCACTTGGCCGGCGGAGCTGGAATCGACTATACGCGACGCACTTACTTAACATATAAAAGTTAAACGAATTACCTACCGTCGAACGTTCAACAATGTACTGTATCTGGTGCGAATTTACCGTCAAGATCTCGTGACTGTCCATAGTCTCCACAAACCGTAAGAAGGAGAGGAATGTACATAAATAAACACTTTACACCTCATTAATTTTTTTATATCCAAAATTGTTGTTATGAAGTCTCTGTTATATATGAATAAAATTGAGAAAATATATTTTATGAGAAATATCTGATACGTATCTTAATGGTCTTGTTTTTAATAAATTAACCCACGTTGGAATTTAATATTTCTGTTGTATAGATTTCGTGACGTGAAGTAGTCTGAAGTTAGGAAAATTAAAATTAACATTAAATTGGTAAAATCATAAATACACACCTTCTGGATTTACCACAGCTACTTTAATGTACTTATAAATTATTTACTTGCACATTATTTTTTATAAATCAATAAACGACGTTAAAAATTACAAATACCGGTGCTGGTTATAAAGTCAAAACCAAATAGACTGTTAGAACTCCACTCCATACCCAAAGGTTAATGTGCGTAAAATGTTTGTAAACTTGCTTTGGTCGTTGCAACCGTGCAGCTATAATTAGAAAATGCAACCCAGTGCACACATGAACTGTCAGTTCATGTGTCAGCTGATTGTCATTTGTGCTGGGCTTTTGTTTTTGAGTTCCGGTAGAGGCAAGGCGGTTGTCACGACCAAAAGTAAGTGAAAAAATAATTAATTTTAAGTATTAGAAATTAATAAATTTGTTTTAAGATTTTAAAGCATTACATTACATCACAATACACACAAATAACTTGTTTTGCTATTAAAAATTGGTCAATAACAAACTTTAAAATTTTTGTGGCAAGCTGTAAAAATCTTGCGGTAATCGAGAAAAGAAAATAGTGTGGCGATTTGCCTGGAAAGAAATCCGAAAAAATCCTTTTAATCGGGAACACATGTAAAAAGAAAAATATGTCATCCGGCAGCCAGAAGTCGACTGTACAATGTGCCGTGTGCAAAAAGGTGAAGACTGGAAAGATGGTGCAATGCGACGCATGTGACCAATGGAGTCATTTTGCATGCGTGGGCGTAGATGACAGCATTGCAGACCTGCCTTGGAGTTGCGAAAAATGCAACACGGTAATGCAGGTTTCAGAAGCGGTTCCGAATAAGGCACCAAGTGAGGAGGACTTGGTAAGTAAGGGCGGTTCAATCATGTCAAGAAACAGCATGAGAATCGAACTGCAGTACTTAGAAGAGCAAAGAAAAGCCGAAATGAAATATATAGAAAAGAAACGTACAATAATGCTGAAGTATGTAGGCGAGGATGATGTTAAGGGTGAAGGCATGAGTGAGGTAAGGACACATAGGACGCTAGAATGGGTGAAGAAGCAGGTTGGTATGAACAACGATGACAGCAAGCCAAACGAAGGTTGTGGTGTTCAGTTGGGTGGTTCAGCTGATAGGGCGGAAGCCCAAGCAGTATCGAAAGTTATACCGGCGCTGATGATAGAACAAATTAATGCGCGTCATGTCGTTCCACGAGATTTGCCTATATTTACCGGAAAGCCGGAAGAGTGGCCACTTTTCTACAGCAGTTTCAGCAATTCAACACGTTTATGCGGTTTCAGTGAAGACGAGAATCTTTTACGATTGCAACGTGCCCTTAAGGGTAAGGCACTTGAATATGTTAGCAGTAGGCTCATGATACCAGCATTAGTGCCGGAAATAATGTCAACTCTTCAAATGGTATTTGGAAGACCAGAACACATAATCAATAACTTAATTACTAAAATTCGAGCAGTGTACATTAATATAAATAAATTGGACACAATTGTTACGTTCGCCTTAGAGGTAAAAAATTTGATCGCAACTATGGAGGCTTCAGAGTTACATTCACCCTTAGTGAACCCGTTGCTTATCCAAGAGCTTGTGGAAAAACTACCACCGCAGATGCGATTGCAGTGGGCTGTTGCATCGCGTAATATCAATGTAACACTTAAAACATTCGGCAACTGGATATATGAACTAGCAGAAGCAGCAAGTAATGTATCGCCCGTTTTTAGTGCTGGAGCCAGTGTAGATAATGAAAGGCGCAAAGCGCAACGCATTAATTTTCACGAAGAAGAACCTCAGGGTGCAGTAGGCGATAAGCACAAAATTCTAGCATGCTTTTATTGCAAGGAGGCACATGCGTTGAAAAAGTGTGCAAAGTTTAAAACACTAAAAACAGACGCGAGGTGGAACGTAGTGCGTGAAATGAGACTATGTGGAAGATGTCTACTGCAGCATGATTTTCGAACATGCAAGAGGACCCGAGAGTGCGGTATACACAATTGCAACATGAAACATCACCCATTGCTACATAAACAAACAAGTTCAACTGCAAGTGGGGCAAATGAAACGTTGGCGGTTCATCATCAACTAACTTCACAAGCGCTGTACAGAATTGTTCCAGTTACAATATATGGAAATGGTGTTACCTGCAACATTTATGCCTTTCTGGATGACGGATCTGGTCCAACGTTAATAGAAAAAGACGTATTAAGACAACTGCGGATTAAAGGTGAAACGAAAGATCTTTGTTTACGATGGACAAATGGTACGGTACGCAAGGAACCTGATTCTGAGCTGGTCAACCTGCAAGTCTCCAAAATACGCGAAGGTAAAAGGTATTCGTTGTGCAATGTGCGTTCAGTAGCTAAGCTGGAGCTACCCGAGCAATCTTTAAATATGACAGAACTTACCGATAAGTATAAACACTTAAAGGGACTACCAGTAGAATCGTATCAAAACGTTAGGCCTCGAATGATAATCGGCCTAAGCAATAAAGAGGTAGCTATGCCAATGAAGTTCAGAGAGGGAGGCAAGAATGAGCCAGCTGCAACGAAAACTCGACTCGGTTGGACCATATATGGAATAATTAAGCACGAACCTAATACTATTAGGGAAACGTTAAATTTACACATCTGTGAATGCGATGATGATCTAAGTTTGCAGCGTTTAGTGAAAGATTTTGTCAGTAATGAAAACGTTATTGAAAGTAAGAAAAAACTAGAAAATATGGAGTTGGAACAACAAAGAAGTATGCAATCAAAAATAAGTCGAAATGGTGAATACTTTGTAACAAGATTGCTTTGGAAATCAAATAACATTACTATGCCGGATAATTACTTAATGGCGTTGCGTAGACTTCAGTGCTTTGAGCGCAAGCTGCAATCCAATGTAACATTGCAAAGCTGGGTATGTGATCACATCGATGACATGAAGGCGAAAGGTTATAAACGCCAGCTGAAACCTAACGAAGCCGAGGGGTGTTATCCACGTAAATGGTACCTACCGATGTTTACAGTCAGTAATCCGAATAAACCACAAAAGCAAAGACTAGTGTGGGATGCAGCTGCACAATATGACGGAGTCTCGTTAAATGCGTGTTTGGAGAAAGGTCCAGATCTGCTCACTTCGTTGGTAGATGTTCTTGTTAATTTCAGAATCGGAAAAATTGGTATAAGTGGCGACATTAAAGAGATGTTTCATCGAGTACTCGTGAAAGAAGAAGATCAACATTCACAACGCTTCCTGTGGAGAAATTGTGACGATAGCAGACCACCAGATGTTTATTTGCTACAAGTTATGAGTTTTGGGGCAACATGTTCACCATCGTTGGCACAACTGGTAAAAAATAGTAATGCACGCGAATACGAAACCGAGTTTCCGCGAGCAGTGAAATGTATTTTACAAAGGCATTATGTAGATGACATGCTGGATAGCGTCGACACAGTGGAGGAAGCGATTAATCTAGTCAATGAGGTTAGAAATATTCATAAGAAAGCAAATTTCCATATTCGCAATTGGGTTTCAAATTCTAACGCAGTGCTGAAAGCTATAGGTAACCAAGGCCAGGAATTTCAATTTTGCTCGGCCGGAAGGCGTATAGACCATACATTTGAGGCAGAGAAGATATTGGGAATCCATTGGCAAACCGACACTGATATGCTCACATTTGATCTGAAGTTTACCAAAGCCACTGAGGATGTTCTAAGTGGATATAGATTACCTACGAAGAGAGAGTTGCTACGATTGATGATGTCAATATTCGACCCTTTAGGGATGCTTACCTTTTACATTATTGACGTAAAAATTTTGTTTCAAAAAGTTTGGCGAAGTGGAGTTAGCTGGGATGACGCTATTCCTAATGAGCTAGTTGATGAGTGGAACAAATGGCTGTCGCTGCTTGGCGGTGTGAAAAATGTGAAGATACCGAGATGTTACTTCGCTACGGTTAATAAGGATGCAGACTCCATTGAATTGCATGTCTTTGTGGACGCAAGTGAGGTTGCATATGCAGCGGTGGTGTACCTAAGAGCGAAGAATCGCAACAACATAGATGTTTCATTGATATGTTCTAAAGCAAAAGTTGCACCATTACGACCAATATCAATTCCAAGACTGGAACTACTCGCGGCGGAATTGGGAGAACGCTTAGGAAACAACATAAAAAGGGCAATAGATTTGAAAGTGACCAGTATAACGTATTGGAGCGATTCAAAGGCTGTTCTATCGTGGATAAAATCTGACCCACGAGATTACAAACAATTTGTAATGTTCCGCATAGCAGAAATCCAGGAGTTGTCCGAAGCAGAACAATGGCGGTACATTCCTACAAAATTAAATGTTGCGGACTTGGCTACAAAACAAACTAGTAATCCAGACTTTACTTGGAAAAACCCTTGGTATAAGGGACCGAAGTTCCTGTATGAAGCAGAAACTTGTTGGCCAAATAATGTTGGCGTACAGAAATATAACGAAGATGCTGAAATCAGAAAGCAACGATTGTTGGTGGCTCATGTAGCAGAGGAGGAACCTCTCATAGATGTCTACCGATTTTCAAAGTGGGAACGTTTAGTTCGATGCATGGCCTATGTGAAAAGATTTATGTCTTTACTATCAACTAATGAAATGAAAAAGAAGAAATCTGTAAACCAATGCTTGTCAGTTGAGGAACTGAAATGGAGTGAAAATTTCTTGTACCAGACAGCCCAGTTACAGGATTACAAGAAAGAAATGACCGCATTAAATAGAGACGCTAATATTACTCTTTCTAAAATTAGCCCTTTGCGAAAACTTTCACCATTCATAGATGCACAGAATGTTTTAAGATTAAAAGGTAGATTAGATAAAGCCGTATGCATCGATGATTCAACCAAATTCCCAATTATACTATCAAGGAAAAACTACATAACTAAGTTGATCGTAGACTGGTATCATCGAAAATGGAAACATCTAAATCATGAAACGGTGGTTAACGAAATCTTTCAGAAATACCACATTCCGGGACTGCGTAGACTGTTAAAGCAGGTAAGAAATAATTGCCAACATTGCAAGGTTCGCGATGCGAGTCCAAAGCCGCCGGAGATGAGTGTGTTACCAGAAGCACGACTATCAGCATACTCCCGACCATTCTCACATGTTGGAATAGATTATTTTGGCCCGTATACTGTAACAGTAGGAAGGCGCTCAGAGAAGCGCTATGGCGTCGTTTTTACATGCCTTACGTGTCGAGCAGTGCATTTGGAGATAGCTTATAGCCTGTCAGCCAGCTCGTGTTGTATAGTGATACGAAATTTCATAGCCCGAAGAGGAGTGCCGAATGTCATCTATAGTGACAATGGAACAAACTTAACAGCAGCTGAAAAGGAGTTACGAGAATCAATAAAAAACGTGGACTTCAATGAATTGCAAGCTGAATTTACAAGTCCGGAAACACAATGGGTTTTTCTTCCACCAGCTGCGCCGCACATGGGTGGAGCGTGGGAGCGGATGGTGCGATCCATAAAAACAGTGTTAGGAGCAATAATAAGCCCGCAAGCAAAAATTAATGATGAAAAGATGCATAACCTGTTCTGCGAGGTAGAATCAATCATAAATAGCAGACCGCTCACTTATTTGTCGATTGAAACAGCAAGCGAAGAAGCGTTAACTCCGAATCATTTCTTGTTGGGGTCATCTTCCGGGAACAAGCCGCCGGGGAAGTTCGATACTAACCACGAGCACGTGAAATCCTCCTGGAGGCATTCGCAATACCTTGCCGATCGGTTCTGGAAAAAATGGATACAAGAGGTGCTTCCAACGATGACAAGACGGACGAAATGGTTTGGTAAGATAAAACCCATCGAAGCAGGTGATGTCGTCATTATTGTTGACCCAAATTCTCCTCGCTACACATGGCCGAAAGGAATTGTAATTAGTGCCATTAAAGCAAGGGACGGGCAGACCAGGAGCGCCATAGTGCAGACTACTCGAGGGCAATATCATATGTAGACCTGCTGCAAAATTAGCCGTATTAGATGTTCGTGGAGCGGCAGTTTAGAGTAAGTCGTATTCTTATTAAAGAGATACTGGGGGGAGAATCGCACTCCATACCCAAAGGCTAATGTGCGTAAAATGTTTGTAAACTTGCTTTGGTCGTTGCAACCGTGCAGCTATAATTAGAAAATGCAACCCAGTGCACACATGAACTGTCAGTTCATGTGTCAGCTGATTGTCATTTGTGCTGGGCTTTTGTTTTTGAGTTCCGGTAGAGGCAAGGCGGTTGTCACGACCAAAAGTAAGTGAAAAAATAATTAATTTTAAGTATTAGAAATTAATAAATTTGTTTTAAGATTTTAAAGCATTACATTACATTACATTACATCACAATACACACAAATAACTTGTTTTGCTATTAAAAATTGGTCAATAACATAGACAAACGTCAGAATCATCAAGAGAATTCGCCGCAAAGAGACGATCAGAACCACCACCAAACAATAGAAAAAACACTGTAAGTGAGCTACATGAAAAGCTCGTCTGATCAGTATAAAAGGCGACGCGTTTCGTTAAGAGGCACTGAGTCTTAAATGATCACTGAGTGGCATTATATGTCAACCAATAAAATAATATAACAAATATTATCTGACACGAAGGCGGTGTTAAGTCGTAGTGTATAACATAATACAAAATATATATATAATAGTTTACGAGCATAAGGCGGTTTTAAGTCAACGCGCTTGGAGACTATTATATGTATATTCAATATATCAAGCGTATATTCTTTTACTTTCTTTCCCAAACAGGTGAACACAGAAACAAGGTGAACCAAGCCAACTACAAGTTTAGACTAAAGACCATTTGCAATTTCACAGAGGTAATCATTAAAAGTAAGACCATTGGGAATTTTTGTTCATGCTGATTTCATTTAATTTCTTCCTTTTGTATATATATTATTAAATTTTTTTATAAATAAATAGTTCTGAAAACTGAAATCACCATCTTTTACCATTGGAGCGTTGTCTGGTAAATATTTTCCTGGCGTAAATTCTGCATTCGGCATTTTTGATGTGATTTTTGGTAACACTATTGCTTCGATATGACAGCTCTTATTCCTAACATGTATAAATTGAATTTCTAATGAGCATTTGGCTACAACGCTTGTTGTTTGCCCATTGATAACTTTTACATTAGTTTGATAATTGGTTAATGGTGCTCTGTTTAATCTTGCTAATTGTTTTGTTATTATACAAGATTGTGATCCTTGATCGAGAAGCGCTCGTATCGGATTGAGTTGTTTTGTAGTCCTTATAATTACCATTGCTGTTGCTAGTAAAACAGTTTTTTCCTTTTGGATGTTGTACGACGCTGCCACTTCGGTCTCCGTGGTGTTCTTCAATGTTGGCATCCTCTGTTTATTTATGTTATTTGTGAATGTTGGTTTGCCTTGAACTTGTTCTTGCATAAGTTGATGGTGTTTTTTATCGCAAATTGTACATCTTTTTTTTATTCAAGCACAATTTACTAAAATGCCCACTCTGAAGGCAATTAAAACATAATTTAGTGCTCATAATCTTTTCACGATATTCCGGCACCTTCATATTCAGAAACTTTGAATATCGAATTATGGTAATTGATGGTTACCATTACACACCAAACATAGCGTATGTATTGTAGTTACATGCGTTTTTGTATTTACAGCTGTTGGTCGAAAGTTATTCTCATTTTCACGATTTGTGTCATGAGTTGTCTCCAATCCTCTAACTCTGCTCTCAATAAACTCGTATAAGCTGCTCAATTTTGGTGTTTGTGTTGATGCTCCTCTTGAATGTTGGTATAATTTTCTGAATTCACCATTTAATTTTGGAAGCCGTATCTATATTATTACTGGATCTCAACTTGACGTGTCCACATTTAAATTACGTATACAATAAAACACTTCTCTAAAATCACCCTTTAATGTTTTTAAATCCTGTGCATTTTCGTTTCTTATTGCTCTGAGCGACAATAACTTATTAATAATGAATGATTAATAAGGAATGATGCTGACTACGATCCCTGAGGAGCCATTTGCTACCATCACAGCCGATTTTATGGGATCACTACCGCGATCGAAAAATGGAAATACAATGCTGCTGGTGATACTAGATAAATTTTCGAAATGAACGGAGTTGATAACCATACGTCGAGCGACATCCGACAATGTGATCAAAGCGTTGAGAGAAAGAATATAAGCCAATTCATTAGTAATGTTTTCAAGCAGTGGTTGGTAAAGATGGGTATTACACACAGAACCACAGCATCGTACATGCCACAGGAGAATCCTACTGAGCGTGCGAACCGAACTATTAAGACACTGATGTCACAAACGGCACGCGACGAACATCGTACGTGGGTCGAGATGCTGCTGGAAATCACTTTAGCCATTAACACTGCGAAATCGGATTCAACAAATTACACTCCAGCCTATCTAGTGCAATGGCGATTGTTGAGACTCCCCGCCAACTTGTTCGTCGAATGCACCCCAGGAACAGGAAATCTGCAAGTAACCCCTGCAGTGAAAGCCGAGAAACTACAACGCGTGTTCAAAATCAACCAACACAATCTACAACAAGTCGCAACAAATCAGGCGAAGTATTATAACTTGCGTCGTCGGAATTGGAGGCCGTGGATAAATCAATTAGTGTGGGTTAGACAACATTCCCTCTCAAATGCCAAAAACTATTTTTCAGCGAAACTTGCACCAAAATTCGACGGTCCATTCAAAGTACAAAAATTTATATCGCCAGTGTTAGTAAAGCTTAGCGCAGAAAATACAGCAACATTAACGAAGGCGCATATTGCCGACCTTAGGGTGCACTATGGTTGTCCTTAAAATATAAAGGACATTAACACTTATGTACCGGCAAAGTAACTGCAACATAAAACAAATACCCGCTATCTATTCAAGTATTTAAAGAACGTGTGCCATGAGGAAGTTCTCAGTAGTCGTTTGAACTAACAACGAAATTTGAAATTTCCGCGGAAAAGTTTCGCACAAGAATGATCGAAATAAACAACAGTAGAACAAAATGTCAATACTTGCCGAACCCTGCAGCAATCAATAAAAACTCCAAGAATATGTTGAAGCAAAGTACAAAAAAATCGTCAAGCGTAAGGTGGGTCCAAGTGACTCCAGCCAGCACCAACATCCAATAGCTGAAAATAGTCAAGCGTTTCCAGGTATTACTTCAAGTGACAGGAATCAAGCATCTACGGCTCAAGGGAGGAGGTTAAAAATAAGAGCGTAGTAATCACAGCAGCGGAACCTTCGGCAAAAGGAATAGGTAATTATGTCGCTAATACAAAAAATCCAACGTGTTACGTTACGTCACTAATGGCAGGAACAATATCGACAGAACCCAGTTCCAGTGAATCCTGCATAACTCACGCAATGGAACAAGAGGATGTGATTGATCTCGACTACGACTGACAACAAATGGAGCTGGAGGAGAATGAGATCGCACGCCCCAAACAAAAAAGGGTTTGCATCACTTGGCCGGCGGAGCTGGAATCGACTATACGCGACGCACTTACTTAACATATAAAAGTTAAACGAATTACCTACCGTCGAACGTTCAACAATATACTGTATCTGGTGCGAATTTACCGTCAAGATCTCGTGACTGTCCATAGTCTCCACAAACCGTAAGAAGGAGAGGAATGTACATAAATAAACACTCTACACCTCATTAATTTTTTTATATCCAAAATTGTTGTTATGAAGTCTCTGTTATATATGAATAAAATTGAGAAAATATATTTTATGAGAAATATCTGATACGTATCTTAATGGTCTTGTTTTTAATAAATTAACCCACGTTGGAATTTAATATTTCTGTTGTATAGATTTCCAACAACAATTACCCAGACTACCCACAACTGCAACACGTGAAGTAGTCTGAAGTTAGGAAAATTAAAATTAACATTAAATTGGTAAAATCATAAATACACACCTTCTGGATTTACCACAGCTACTTTAATGTACTTATAAATTATTTACTTGCACATTATTTTTTATAAATCAATAAACGACGTTAAAAATTACAAATACCGGTGCTGGTTATAAAGTCAAAACCAAATAGACAAACGTCAGAATCATCAAGAGAATTCGCCGCAAAGAGACGATCAGAACCACCACCAAACAATAGAAAAAACACTGTAAGTGAGCTACATGAAAAGCTCGTCTGATCAGTATAAAAGGCGACGCGTTTCGTTAAGAGGCACTGAGTCTTGAATGATCACTGAGTGGCATTATATGTCAACCAATAAAATAATATAATAAATATTATCTGACACGAAGGCGGTGGTAAGTCGTAGTGTATAACATAATACAAAATATATATATAATAAATTACGAGCATAAGGCGGTTTTAAGTCAACGCGCTTGGACACCATTATATGTATATTCAATATATCAAGCGTATATTCTTTTACTTTCTTTCCCAAACAGGTGAACACAGAAACAAGGTGAACCAAGCCAATTACAAGTTTAGACTAAAGACCATTTGCAATTTCACAGAGGTAATCATTAAAAGTAAGACCATTGGGAATTTTTGTTCATGCTGATTTCATTTAATTTCTTTCTTTTGTATATATATTATTGATTTTTTTTATAAATAAATAGTTCTGAAAACTGAAATCACCATCTTTTATTTGAGAAGTCCCGTCCTTGTAAATACAAATTTATTGTAACGACTCCTGGAAAGAGGCTGAGGATACCCCGGTAAAGAAAATAACGAAACGGAAAATTCGTGTCGTTACAACCTAACGTTTCTCGATCATTTTTTAGCAGTAACCTAACGATGTATCGTCCTGTTTTATGACGGGTGCAAGTTGAATCATAATGTCTCTCACAACGCCTTTCTTCTACTGTCCTTAAGTCTGCATTAGGAATTTCCTCTAATTCCTAAAACCGTTTTAATTACTCGTCACTATTGCTGCAAGCCATGGTGCATAACGTTATTTTGTTT